TGGGGACATCTCTACCTCTCATCTCTTCCCTTCAAGAAAGAATTTTCAACAAACTTTCAATGGCAACTAGGAGGAACATGATCACCATTGTTGCTTCGAAAAGCAACAAGGCCACTGATTCAAGTCACCAACATACTATTGAAGATTCTTCAACACCGCCACTGAAAACAAAATCCATCGTCGAGTTGTATGAACAAACTAAGCCGACTCTCAAGTTGACATCAACTTCAAATGCAAGAGGGGCACCAGATCTTGCCTCGAAAATGAAGCCACAAGCAACTCCACTACAAGAGTCTAGTGGGGCGTGCGAAATTCTCTTCGGCACTCAAGGCGACTTCGACAATTCACCTATGGAAACTTCTCCGTGTCAATCACCAAGTAAGGCTCCGAGTTTTGGCACCATGTCAGTGATGATGACCGAGACAACATCTTTAGAGGATCAAGTGGCTAACTTGACAAAACTCGTCGAAGGGTTTTCGACTTCACTTAAGGCAAAAGACCACGAGATAGCAAAATTGATGAACAAACTTGAGAGCTTGAACGAAGGAGGCCAAACCTCGACTACCAAGGCTTTTCAAGCAGATCAACTAGATGTCATTGAGGAGTCTACAACCGGAGCTGCGAAGAATGTACGCGGTATTACTGATGGCATCTTCACCACAAATCAACTGAAAGAACTCATCAAGGAAGCCATCACAGACCAAGTGGAAAGCTCAATTCAACCCTCGTATTCGTATGCGAAGCCGTACACCCAAAGAATCGACTTGTTAAAGATGCCTCTAAGTTACCAACCACCAAAGTTTCAACAATTCGATGGCAAGGGAAATCCTCGGCAACACGTAGCTCACTTTGTGGAGACTTGCAACAATGCCGGAACTAATGGTGATCTCATGGTAAAACAGTTTGTTCGTTCCTTAAAAGGTAATACCTTCGACTGGTACACTGACTTGGAGTCTGGCTTGATTGATACTTGGGAGCAGTTAGAGCGCGAGTTTCTTAACCGCTTTTACAGCACTCGTCGCGTGGTTAGCATGATTGAACTCACTAATGCACGTCAATGGAAGGAAGAGCCTGTCATCGACTATATTCATCGGTGGAGAAACCTTAGCCTCAACTGTAGAGATCGGCTCACCGAAACTTCTGCGCTAGACATGTGTATTCAAGGGATGCATTGGGGACTACGCTATATTCTACAAGGCATCAAACCAAAGTCTTTTGAAGAATTGGCTACTCGTGCACACGATATGGAACTTAGCATTGCGGCGGCTGAAAGTTCATCATTACCTATACAAGAGCCTAAAAGGAATAAGCCTGAAGGTCGTAGATTCGGAAAGAGCACTCTAAAAGTCGAGGGAAAGCAATCTTTAGTAGTTAACTCAGCTACTATAAGGGTACCAACTGGAGTTAAGAGGAATGATCATGCAACGCCCACTACTTTTCAAAAGGGTGAAAGAAAGAAACCATCCTTGAAAGAGCGACAAGAAAAAGTGTATCCATTCCCCGACTCAGACATATCTAAGATGTTGGATGATCTGCTTGAGGCAAATATCATTGAGTTGCCAGAAGTGAAACGCCTTGAAGAAGCAAACCAAGTAGATAATCCGAATTATTGCAAATATCATCGTTTAATCAGTCATCCTGTAGAGAAGTGTTTTGTGTTGAAAGACAAGATCATGAGGCTACACGAGAATGGAGATATTGTCTTTGATGATGAAATAGCAGCCTCTAATATCATAACCACGGTCAATTTAGGACCATGTCAATCACTCCCTACAATAAGTTTCGGCTCCTTTGAACCTATAAGACTTGATGCCATTTTCCCGATGAGCTTTGCTGCATCCTCAAGTCTAACTCCATGCATAACCCTCGTACCTCAAGTTGACAACTTGAAGCCTAATTCGTTTGAAAATTATGATGATGAAGGATGGACTTTAGTCACGCGTAAAAGAGGAAGAAAGAAACACATGCAGATGACAAAGCCAACTAGAATAAGAATGTCAATGGTGAGGAAGCTAATTGATGAGCCGATAAGTCGAAAGACTGAACGAAAGTCCATGCCAGCTAGAAAGGAGAGTTTTTCAATGCAAAGTCTAAGAAAGCCCGTTACACTGAATGAGTACATGCCAATAGAGATGAGAAGAGTTGAAAATGTACTTGTTACTTGCTATCAGGTTGATGAAGAGAAAACTCTTATTGAACCTGTCATGAAGGAAGGTTATGATGACTCTTCAAATTTATGTCATGGTGTATGCACAATAGAGATCCTTCAGCGATGAAGACTTGTTGCTTGGATCAAAACTCCATAACCGACCTCTTTTCATTAAAGGATATGTTGATGAAAAGATGGTGAATCGTATCTTGGTGGATGATGGCTCAGCGGTCAATATACTACCTCTTAAGACTATGAAAGAGCTAGGGATTCCTATGGATGAACTTTTCCCAAGTCATCTGATGATTCAAGGTTTTAATCAAGGTGGGCAAAACGCCATCGGAAAGATAAGACTCGCAATGCACATGGAAGATATGGAATCCAATGCACTTTTCCATGTCATAGATGCCAAAACTACTTACAATATGTTGCTTGGGCGACCATGGATGCATGAAAATGGTATCATCTCCTCAACACTCCACCAATGTTTTAAGTATTGTCGAGATGGACAAATAAGAAAGATAGTGGCGGACACCGACCCCTTCACCATAGCTGAAGCTCAGTGGCAGACACCGACCCCTTCACCATAGCTGAAGCTCACTTTGCAGACGCAAAATTCTATTTCAAGTCAAATGTGATTGAAGAGCTACGATCCCCACCTGACCACCTAGGAGAGGGAAGAATTGACTCTAAAAGCTCAAAAGGGCATAAGTCATCTACAAATGAAAGGGTGTCTCAGCCGATGAGGAATCAAGGAAAAGAAAAGGTGGTAGAAAACTTTGTTAACAATAAACTACCACGTAAAGCCACAGTACTCCGATATATCCCAGTATCAGCAAGAAAAGAGGGTCAATCTTCTTTTGCCAAGGATGAAGAGAAGATCAATAAGGGGCTTGAAAACTTGACCTTGCCAGCTACTAATCTCGCCTTGAACAAGGTCTCAAAACCTTTATTAAAAGGGTTCGTTCATCAAACCGAGTTGGTGGTGATAAATCCTAGAGGACTCCCTGATAAACGGGCGAATGGCTTTGATCCCAATGCTTATAAGCTTTTAGCCAAGGCTGGTTATAGTCGTGAGGACATCAGTAAGTTAGCGAAGGATGGTGATACTACTCAACCTGAAGGTAAACAAGTTTCTACAAAGACTAGAAAGGCATGGAGAGAGAAGAAAACTTATGGCAAAACTTTAAGGGTTGGTCTTGGATACGAGTCTTCCATACCGCTACATTTTCAGATTAATAAAGAAGCCTCACAATACACAAGTGCGGAAGAAGTCATGGACAAACAACAAAATCAGTTGGCACCTCTTAGAGCTTCAGTCTGGGATCGTCTTGGTGGAACTACAAGTCGTGCTCCTGTTTTTACCAGGATTGGAACCCAAAATAATGGAAAGGCGCTAAAACGCACATCAGTCTTTGCAAGACTTGGACAATCCATGTCAAAAGATAACAAGCATACACTCGATCATCAATCAAGTTCGATGAGTGATTTAAAGGTTCTTCGTAGCAAAATACCTTCACGCATGAAGAGACAATGTGAATGGGTGGTGAGTGCTGAGGAGACATTGAAAGGAAAAACACGCACAATAGTGATGACAAACCCCTGTAATGAAGAAAAGGAAGATGAAATAATGTGTCTCACTTCAAATCACATCACTATTGAAGAAGATGATAATGATAAGTTTGTCGTCGAAGAAGATGTTGAGGAAGCTCTGCCTTCCCTTGAATCAGAAAATAAGCCTACAATGGATGAACTTAAAGAGGTTAACTTGGGAACTGTTGAAAACCCACGACCAACCTTTATCAATGCAAATTTATCACCTGAAGAGGAAGCAAATTACATGGAACTTTTGATGGAATATCGAGATGTCTTTGCTTGGTCCTATGATGAAATGCCAGGTTTAGACCCAAGGGTTGCTGTCCACCAACTAGCAGTAAAACATGGGGCTAGACCTATAAAACAAACTCAGCGTCGCTTCCGTCCTGAACTCATATCACAGATTGAGGTTGAAGTCAATAAACTTATCCAGGCAGGTTTCATTCGTGAGGTCACGTATCCTACATGGATTTCAAATATTGTGCCAGTAAAAAAGAAGAATGGTCAAATGCGTGTTTGCGTGGATTTTCGAGACCTTAACAATGCTTGTCCCAAAGATGACTTTCCATTTCCAATTACCGAGATCATGGTCGATGCTACCACAGGTCATGGGAGATTAACCTTCATGGACGGTTCATCTGGCTATAATCAAATTCGAATGGCACCCGCAGATGAGGAGAAGACGGCCTTCCGAACTCCGAAAGGGATATATTGCTATAAAGTTATGCCTTTTGGCTTAAAGAATGCAGGTGCCACTTATCAAAGGGCGATGCAGAAGATTTTTGATGATATGCTTCACCAACATGTTGAATGCTATGTTGACGACCTCGTGGTGAAATCAAAAGAAAAAGAAAATCATTTGCAAGATCTTCGTTTGGTATTTGAACGATTACGTCGATTCCAGCTAAAAATGAACCCACTAAAATGCGCATTTGGTGTGTCATCAGGCAAATTCCTAGGGTTTATAGTTTGACATCGAGGGATTGAGATTGACCAGTCTAAGATTGAAGCCATTCTAAAAATACCGGAGCCAAGAAACATCCATGAGTTGAAGAGTCTCCAAGGAAAGTTGGCCTATATACGAAGATTTATTTCTAACTTAGCGGGTCGATGTCAACCATTCACCCACTTAATGAAGAAGGATACGTTATTCTATTGGGATGAAGCTTGTACTAATGCCTTCAACAAGATAAAAAAATACTTGTTGAATCCGCCTGTCCTTCAAGCACTGGTACCGAGACGCCCACTTATCCTCTATATTGCAGCTCAAACACATTCCTTGGGGGTGTTGTTGGCGCAACAAAATGATGAAGGCAAGGAAAGTGCTCTCTACTACCTTAGTAGGACATTAAATGGGGCTGAACTGAATTATTCTCCAATAGAGAAGACATGTCTAGCATTAATGTTTGCAATAAAGAAGCTAAGGCATTACCTCCAAGCGCATTCAGTAAGACTAATCTCCCGAGCTGACCCTCTCAAGTACATCATCTCAAGACCAGTACTATCAGGAAGATTGGCAAAATGGGCTTTATTGCTTCAAGAATTTGAAATTGTCTACGTCTCACAAAAGGCTATCAAGGGGCAAGCACTAGCTGATTTTCTCGCTGATCATCCTATTCCCGATGAATGGAAGTTCTCTGAAGACCTGCCTGATGAGGATGTTTTGTTTATTGAAATGTCAGAACCATGGAAAATGTTCTTTGATGGCGCAGCACGACAAGATGGAGCCGGGGCTGGGGTTATATTCATCACACCAGAAGGAGAGGTCTTGCCTTTCTCCTTTTCACTTACCGAATGTTGTTCTAATAACATGGCCGAATATCAAGCCTTGATTCTTGGGTTGGAAATGGCAGTGAATATAAAGATGTCTCGCCTTAAAGTTTTTGGGGATTCTCAATTAGTCATCAGACAACTCCTCTCACTATATGAAGTCAAGAAGCCAGAGTTCATCCCATATCACAAGTATGCACTTAAACTGATAACATCACTTGATTGTGTCACTTTAGAACACGTGCCACGAAAAGAGAATAAGCAAGAACATGGGCCAGGAAAAGAGATTAGGCAAGCCGATGCCTTAGCAAATCTTGCGTCAACATTAGCATCATGTAGTGAGGAGATAAAAGTCCCTGTATGTCAAAGATGGGTCGTTCCACCGCTAAATCATGACATAGAAGAGAAAGAACAAGTGGGTATAGTTTCTGTCTACGAGATTGAAAGAGAAGACTGGCGTCAGCCACTTATCGATTATTTGAGACATGGAAAGCTACCTAAAGACCTACGTCATAAGACAGAGGTGAGGCGAAGAGCTTCTCGCTTCATATACTTTCAAGGCACTCTTTACCGACGCTCTTTTGACGGAGTCTTTTTGCGTTGTCTCGGAGAAGAAGAAGCAACAAAAGCACTAGAGGAAACTCACTCAGGGATCTGTGGAGCACACCAATCAGGCCCTAAACTTCACTTCCGGATCAAAAGAATGGGATATTACTGGCCGACAATGGTGAAGGATTGCATAGACTACGCTAGAAAATGTCAAAGTTGTCAATTGCATGCTAATTTGATCCATCAGCCACCCGAGCCTTTACACCCGACAGTTGCCTCTTGGCCCTTTGATGCTTGGGGACTTGATGTGGTAGGACCATTGCCGAAAAGCTCTGGGGGGCATCTTTACATATTGGCTGGAACAGATTACTTCTCAAAGTGGGCAGAAGCTACAGCATTAAAAGAGGTCAAGAAAGAGACAGTTGTAAACTTCATTCGAACAAACATCATTTACCGTTATGGGGTACCAAGATACATCATAACCGATAATGGAAAGGAGTTCTACAATACAACCATGAACAAGTTGTGTGCACAATTCAGCTTCCAACAGCATAACTCTTCTATGTACAATGCTCCGGCTAATGGTTTGGCAGAAGCCTTTAACAAGACTTTATGCAACATTCTCAAGAAGGTGGTGAATCGCTCGAAGAAGGACTGGCATGAGAGAATTGGGGAGGCGTTATGGGCTTATCGTACTACATTCCGAACACCAACTCAAGCTACTCCATATTCCTTGGTATACGGGGCCGAAGCTGTTCTTCCACTAGAATGTCAAATTCCATCTTTGAGAATCGCAATCCAAGAAGGACTTTCCAATGAAGACAATGTTCGTCTACGCCTTGAAGAGCTTGAAGCTTTAGATGAAAAACGTCTTGAGGCACAACAGCGATTAGAATGTTATCAAGCACGACTTTGTAGGGCTTTCAACAAGAAGGTGCGACCACGCTCATTCCAAGAAGGAGATCTTGTCTTGGCAGTACGACGCCCAATAATCATGTCAAAACGCATGGGCAGCAAATTCCTCTCCAAATGGGATGGCCCTTATGTGGTTCAAGAAGTCTACACCAATGGAGCTTACAAAATTATCGATGAGAATGGATTGAAGATTGGGCCTATCAACGGCAAATTCTTGAAAAGATATTATGCTTGAAATCTGATGTAGCTCCTGGCCCGCACGAGCTAAAACTGTGAAAGGCACAAAAAAAAATTGAACTACGTTATGACTTGATCCTTTATCCACAAAGGTACGTAGGCAACTCAGAATCCATTCTGGGTACAGTCACAAAAAAAGTCTTTGAAAAAAAAATAAAAAAAAAATGTTTTGAACTACGTTGTGACTTGATCCTTTATCCATAAAGGTACGTAGGCAACTTAGAATTTATTCTAAGTACAGTCGCACATCATCCTTTAAAAGCTATTTGAGCCAATATGATTGTTCACATGAAAAAAAGAGGGATAAATAAACCTCAAAACACAATCATAACATGAAAATCCAGGTAACAAGACACAAGTGAAGGTAAAATGTAGACTTTATTAATAGAAAGAAGAATTCTATTACATAAAGTATGTAGCCTCAACAGAAAGTCACAAGCTGGTGTTACCGAAACAAAAAAATTCCAAAGCATAAGAAACCATTATCATACTACGGTTTCCAGCTATGTCCTCCTAACTCCTTTTGTTTGGTCTCCAACAATCCTTTCAATTTTTGAAGAATGGCTGCATCAGTTTCACTTATCACAGGGGAAGAGGATAGTGTGGTGATCTCTGCTCGAATGCTGGAGGTGATGATTTTCCTCTTAGAAAGTTTTTCATCACACGCCTTAAGAGATGACTCTAACTCAGTCTTCTTACTCTGCAGCTCCATTAATTGTTTCGCTATTTTTGTTATCTCAGCATGAGTGGTGGAAATAGATCTAGATGCCTCGTCTTCAAAAGCTTTTGAATCTTTAAGTTGCACTTCAAGCTTTTCAACATCTAAGGCTCGTTGCTCTGATGTCATCATAGGAGATAATGAAGCCTTTAAGTGGATAAACTTTTTAGCATCCTCAATCACCTCAGTCACCATTCTTCTGATAGAGGAGCAATCAACCTTTATATCTTCAATGGAGTGGAGGATCTTCTCAACTTCACCAGCCAGGTTAGGAATATAATGGATCGGTGTACGAACAATCTTATTTCTGATGCTCTCCCAACACTTGATAGCAAATTCAGATCTTATCTCTCTTATTATGTCATCAGCACAATACCTAGTAACTCCTGAAGGCTCAAAGGCAGTAGTAGGTCCAAGATTATGCAAGTTGGTCACTATATTAAAGATCGGCGGAGGTGGATTAGGCTGCTCATGTGGTGAACTAAATGAAGGATGAGAGTTTCCAATCCCAGCAGCTAAAATATTGAAAGGGTTAGGGCTAACAACAGAAGCAACACTCATTTCTGGCCCAATATACATATCAAAGTCATTCCCCAGGTCTTGTTGACCAAGCTGAAACAAAGAACAAAAAAAGAGGGGGGGTTAATATATGACAAGTAACATGAATTAGAAAAAAAAGAAAAAGAAAAAAAAAGTGTCAAACCAGTTCATCAATATTGTCTGGCATGATTGATGCACTAGGGACTCCATGAAGAAAACCCGAGCCGCAAGGATTGAACACTTTCTTGGTACGTTTTAAACGTTTCCAATGATGATCACTGTTTTCATGCTCACTATCCTCAACATTTAAGATTGCTTCAAAATTGTCTTCTTTTTCCTGCTACATGCATATCCTTATGAGTATCTCAAAAAAAAAAAAGGGAATTAATAAGGCACATAAAAATAGGGATAAGTATTTATTTACCAATTGTGGAGAAAAGGATTGTGCACTTCTTTCCTTTGCTTCTGAGGAGTTAGAGGATTTCTTATTGAGATGATCTTTTGAAGTACTCACTCTCTTCACACTAGGGATCACAAGTGGTGTCCTCCTTATGTGGGCAGATGTTTGAGTACCATCTTCCTTGCCTAAATCAACATCAACTGTCCGCTTATCTCTTTTATGGGTAGGAGAAGATCGTTTCTTTTTGGTTAAGAGAGGGTCATTCTTCTTTTCTTTTATCCCTCGAGATACTACGGCAACATTACCAGGACTTTTGAGAATGATCTTTACCTCTGGAGAATAAACTTTGGACCACTTCGGAGTCCACCAGTCCATGTAACGTTTAGTCACCAAAGGAAGTTTATCACTTGGGGGCAACGGAAGCTTGCACTGAGAATGAGTGTTGAGTTTGGTAAAACTATGCCAAAGTTGGGATACATCCTCCAAGGTTGGAACTCCAGTTCTCCCTTCAAAGTCACGGGGAACATGCTGGCAAAACCCAAATTGTCGACTGAATCTATCAGGACAGTAAGACTCAATAATAAAAGTATCATCATAACGAAGAGTCAAATAGCCGGATCGAATACACATAAAGTAGTCACTCTTGAGGACTGATAAGTTGCCATCATCACACAAAACCACGACTTTGGCCAAGGGAAGTAATGCAGGAAATATGACTCTCTTAGGATCTCTGAAAAGAGCATTAGCTTGAGATTCATTGAAATGCTTTGCCAACCCCACGCCGGCATATTTTGTCATCCCAACTAACTTGGCAGGACTAATGGCTGTTTGATGGGTGCCAAATTTTTCGGCAAGCCAACTGCTGAGAAAATGAATAGGAAAAGGGATGTCTCGTGCGGTCACACTTAATGCAGATTGAACTTCCTTTAGACCTTTGAAGATACTTGCTAGAACTGGTATCGCAAGAGAGAATTGCCTTCCAACCGCCATCATGGATGCTACTTTGAAAGTACTAGGACGAATGAAACCAACGTCCTTGCTAGGAAATACAAATTTGCATAGCCAGCATGAAAGAAAAGCCGCTAAATAAACTTCATCTTGAATATGAGAAGGGACATTAAGCTCTTTAAAAGGATGAATGAATTTGCTGGAACGAACGCGAGACTTATCAATTGAGCCAGATGGATAGGTAGTCTTATTGGATCCGCCAGACTTACCCACAGAAAAGGGTACCTTGTATCTCAAATCATCTCGAAACCAGAAATCTACCCAATCTTGAAGGGTCATTACATGGTCACCATCAATGGTCTGACATTCTTTATGAAAGGCGATAAATAGGTACTTGCAGCTCTTTGAAAGAAAAGAATATCCTTTCTTGTCAGCTTCATTAAGTTCATCAGCAGAAGGAATGACTTCATCATAAAAAGTACCAAAAATAGGAAGACCGCTACATGATTTTAACTCCCAAAGGGATATAGACTCCTCTCCATTCGGGGTAGATAGCGTGTTGGTAGCAGGATTCCAATGATTATAGAAAGAAAGGATAACATTCATCTGCCAGTCATATGTAAAAAGGGATGCAAAAATAGTGTCTCGAATATGTGCCCTCTCGAGGATTGGCTCGTAATGTTTCAAAATATCTTCTGTCCATTCCCAATACTTGGGAGTATACTCAAGTGCATCGGAGATTGGGAAATAATCCTTGCAAGTAGCATTTCCATCACGTTTACGATAGTCTAATGACGGCAGATCAGCTAGAAAAGTTGTTGAATGTGGAAAGGAGGATTGAAGTTGTAAAACTGATTGAGGCAAACCACCATGACCATAAAGTTCATAAGAAGTCTCCAATGACCAGGAAGTCAAATGCTTGATGCTTTCGGAAGACCGCTTCTTAGCAAATGAACCAATGGCAGGTTCATATACGCGAAGGCTTGTTCGACGATACTTCTCATCAATTACTAAGAATCTTTTTGTGGAAGAAGAAGAATTCTTGAAAAGCACCATCTAAAAAGAAAAGATAGACATAAAAATACGTGAATTAGATGCATATTGAAAGAAGAAATGGGGAACAAGATTATAAATCCCATGATATTTATATGTCCAAAAAAAAAAAGTAATGATTAAAAAGGGAGAGAATAAGAACTTACCTTGATCAAGAGCTAAAGAAAAGTGATGCTCTAATGTTAAGAAATTTATGACTTGCCAAAATTGATGACGTGTTAAAAACAACAATCGTGACCCTTAAGAAACAACTTGTCAAACACCAAGGCTTGTGAAGTATTACGGTAAGATAATTCAGATCACCCAAAGAAATCTGCAACCCTGCAATAAGAATAGATGTTAATTAATGGAAACAGGCGAGCCCACCAATAACTCAATCAGGCTTAGTGAAGTCTATTTCAATAACAACACCGAAAAGCTGCGAGAAGAATTTATAAGACTAGGCACGCAAACAACGTTTGATTTCTAATGCAAACAAGAAAAAAAAAAAAAACACTTGCGGAAGCTCCTTTATTTATAAGGCTAAGATGGTAGAATTGCTTCGGCGCTCATATCTGATGAATTTTGGAGCAATGGGAGAACTCGCCTTGAACTCGTAATGTTTGCAAAAAATAAATCAGAGCTGAGAGAACACCACATGAGCTATCAATTCAGGGCTGAGAACATATCATAATTTATGGCAGCAGTGATTAGGGAGCACCGGTGACAAGGATGCTGAATCCCTTGCAGCAACTTCAACCATGAATATACCTGATGAACAAGGAATTTGCAATTCTGGACCACTGGTTTGAAGATAATGTAAATTCACACATAAAGCTTGAGAAACCACGTGAATGAAACCAGTTCACAGGCTGAAACAACAAAGTTAAAATTCTGCTTTGATTGGTCTGTAAGCATAATGGACATCCAAGTTAAGATTTTGCAATGCTGACAATAGTGAGAAGAATGATTGAGTGGAATCATCCAAGCTTCAATATTTGATGAGGTTCTGCATATAAATCATGTGAAATCTGTCTACAACAGACGAATACATCCAATTCTATAGGCTTTTGAATCTATCTACAAACCAGAATTATATCCTGCATACACACACACAAAAAAAGAGAGGGTGCAGTTGTAATAAAACAAAAGGAGGAATGGGGACATGCATACCGGGACTGCTGTGTGGAGGTTGCACTGTTAGTGAAGAAACAAAAGTATTGCTAGGTTGAGGCTGCACCGTTAGTTAAATTCAAACTTGAGCAGTATCACACTTGGTTTAATGATATCACCAAGCAGTCACCTGACCTGACAGTGTTTTGCTTGATCTTTGGCGGACCAATTATGCCCGTAGATGCTGACAGACACTTGGCAATCTTCACGAAGCAGCTAAAAAGTTTGATATTAATTTTGAAGCGAGACGTTTGGTTGCCAGGTTGATGCTATACAGTTAATAAAAGAGCAACAGGAAGTGCTGCGTTGGTAACATGAAAAGAGCAATGTAATGTTCTTTTATAGCCGCCTTAGTGATTCTTTCCTAATCTAAAAAATATTCTTTTCTTATTATGTGAAAGCAAAGTCGGCTCCCAGTACAGGAAATTGTTTTGTTCTCTTTCTTAATAATTCATTCACGTTGGACAATTCATTTAGGAAAAAAAAACGGGGGGTCAATTAAGCTAAGTCAGGCTATCAGCATGGGAGGACCTTTTGTTTACTCTAAGCAGCTAATTCACTCTAAGCAATTCATTTACAAAAGAAAGTCAATTGAACAAAGCAAGTTACGTGATAAGTTATTTTGCTCTCTGGACATTCTTCCAGGAAAAGATTGAAATTAATGAAGAATGGTGGGCACGGTTCCCAAGGCAATAAGAAAAGAGAGTTGCAACTTTCATAATTCATAACTTGCTAATCGTTGGTCAGAATCACAAATGGATTGAGTCGTTGGATTCAGCACAATGAGATCTCTAGAACAAGAAGTTGCAGTGACCACTTCCAGTGAAAAAAAAAAAAAGTTCCTGCAGCCCAGTGCCCCCTTCCAGTGAAAAAAAAAAAAAGTTCCTGCAGCCCAGTCAAAGTGATGGTCGCTATTAGGATATAAAGATAATGGTCACTATTAGGATATAAAGATAATTTTGCTTGGTCCTGAATATGCAACAGTTTCAAATGAGGTATTGAATTCGGATATTCTATCATTTGGTTTGATAAAGTTCAATCAAAATTGGTCCATAAATTTCCAATTTTGACTATCATATTTTATTTTCATAATAAGATTTATTTGCTTGTTGTGAAAATGTAATACGATCAAATCAAATTTTAATTAAAAATATACAACCCTTTCAACCATATTTTTTCTGGGGGAGGAGGGTGTGATCTCAAATCACAAATTTTATTCCTATATAATCACAAATTTTATCTCCTATATAAAATTTGTGATTTGAGATCACACCCTCCTCCCCTAGTATTATTAAACTAAAAAAACTGTGGTTAGGGTCAAAACCCAGAACTGAAATATAAAATTTGCAGTCTACCTATATCAGCTTATTTCATATCTGATCTGATAATAAATGGAAATCAGCATGTCCATATCAGATGGGTGCATCTCAGCGTACAAAGTACATGAAAGGCTAATGCTGGTGGATCATACGGGTTTCAACTTTCAAAAATTTTCATCTGTGGCATGTTATAATTTTAGCTTGCAACAAATTGTGAGTGCATCTTTCATGTGGGGGCGATTTTCTTATAATTGTTTAGAGAGAGACCATAGTCTAAAGACAGCAGTTACAACTTATTGTTGAATTTTGAGGACAACTGGAGTGAGATACTAGAGGCATTGCCTAGATTTTTTTTCCTGTTATGAGAAATCAGAATACTATTTTCAGTATTGGAATCAAGGAATAATCATTGTAAATTATATGACAGCAGAGATCGTTATTAGCATTAGCAGAGTAAAATATGCAACACAAGCAAGATTTTCCTTCAAGCTTTACTGTAAGCTATCATTCAAGCAAAAGTTTATCAACGAAAATAAACAGAAACGTCTCAAAGTGCTATATTTATTTTCAATATATTCGAATTATGAACATAAAGTATTTAAAAAAGAAATCAACAGTCGAAATAGGTACAATCACAACCAAAAGCAGGGGAATTCAGGCTACAGTTAGATTTAGAAGAACACATAACACATCAATATACAGAAACTTGCATTTGCTTGAGCCATGGACACTCATCTCCTTCTCTTTATGATAAGTATTCAATGCCTAAAGAGAAGGCCTGAATTGGGAAGCGAAAGAGCCTATAGAGTCGAAGAAATCCTGCAGGTAGAACTCTGATCTTGTCTCCTTCTTATCATTGTCCTTTTTATAAGCAGCAGAGAATCTCCCAATGGCCATGCCTTTAGACCCCTTATCAGTATCTATATCAGTAGAACTTTATTGAACTAAAAAGGTTTTCCACACAGAAATACTACGCTCCTATCTTTCTCTCTCACACACTATGACTAGGGTTTTTCAATCCTTTGTTACAGACGAAAGAATAACCTGACACTGTAACACACACACACACACACACTTCTGAACCGACTAAGAATGTAGCCAACACTGATTCGGATTCGGCTAGGGCCAACTTTTTACACTTTCTTTCCAAAAAATATCCTACTAAGAATCTGAATCCTTGTTAAATTAGGAATTGAAGAATGCAATAAATGCAGTTGCCCCTTAATTTCTGAGTTTTTTTTTTTTTGAAAATAAGGTATTTTTGAAATTCTTTTTCATAAAATAGGGTAAATTTTCCTCATCATTTCTTTTTGAATTAAAAAAAAAAAGTCTTGTGAGATTTTCAATGTAGATTTATCTCCAGGAGTAGGACAGGCCAACTCATGAATCGAGTCCTTGTAGATCCACTGGTAAAAAAATAAAAATAAAAGATTGAAACAATAAAATAATTATCAAATTTCTTCTTCTTTCACCTATTCATCTGTTATAATTAATAGGAATGAAGGTGCAGATTTTCTTCTATAGAAATGCTTGGCAGAATATTGTAAATGTTTTCAAAACATGGATGTTAATGACAGGCGATTAACCTGCTTTCGAACTCATTTGCGTAATAGATATAGTAGTCAATTGGCCGTGTTCCGGCATGGATCGGATTGCTTTTCTTGAAACCAGCAATTTAATTTTTTATATAATTCGTGTTTTTAACTAAATAATATAACAGCTAATCAAAATTAAATTGATTAATTTTATAAGTTTAAGTATAATTTTGTTGATTGATGAAATAATAGCTTTACTTTTTAAATAAATTTTAAGATGATATTTATTTTAAAAAAAAATTATTAAGACAATGATAAATTGTCTCGATCTCAATCTCAAAGCAACTTTATCATAGATTTCATTGAGTTTAATAATATTTTTTTTTATTTTTTTTTTAAATTATGTTTGTAATTTATTTCTTGACCAATCCAATACTAAAAAAAAAATCAAGAAAAAACAATTAAATAACCAATAATAATCAAGAAAAAACAATTAAAAATAATTAAATAACCAATAATAAAAAAAGCATATATAACCAGTAGGTGAACTCATCAAAATTATTAACTAGATAACCCGAGCTAGCACGCCAAGCTTATGAACTAACTTATAGACTCTAGTGTTATATGTGTGTGTGTATATATATATATATATATATATATATATATAAAAAAAA